GACACACACACACACACACACACACACACACACACGCACATGCTCTGCCAGTGGAGGGCAGCGACCAGGGCCGCAAGTCCCCGCCTGCTGGAGAGGCGCCCCGCACTCCGGATCCCCCATCCCACCTGCTCCCTACCCTGGCTTCCACCTGCACCTTCCTCCTTGCTCCTGGGGTGGCTGGGGGTCCAGGGCTGAGCCACCTGAGCCCTGCAGGGATGGAGGCAAGAGCTGGGAGGACCCGCGGGGCCCTAAGGGATGCTGGCCCGGTGTGAGTTACTCAGCCCTAGGCGCTCACTGCCGCCGCGCCCCAACCAGAGCATGCTTCGGGCAGCTCGTCCACTGTGCCTGTGGCAACAGGCGTTGAGGGTGGTCTAGCTCCCTGCGCTTTGGAAATGGGGCAGACTTGTCCCCAGCTGAGTCCTGTGGCTGGAATTAGTGCTTTAAAGGCCCTGAGAAGTCCTGCAGGAGACACTCCACCAGCAACCCCTAAACCTGCTTTGAGCAGAGCCTTGTGGTGGGGGTTGGGGGTGACCTACGAAGCAACCAGCAGAAACCGGCATCCTCCAGGCAGGCCTCCAGAGCCTGCAGCCCTGGCCATGACCTCGGCCCGGCAGAGGTGGGGAGGTGGGACCAGCACCAGCAGGCCGACCATGGGGACAGGGGTGTCCTGCAACAGGGACTTTGAGTGCTAAGGACAGCTGGGAAACCACAAGATCCGTTCACCCAACCGGCCCCTCCGTCGCGGGGCGGCCTCGACCCCAGGACAAAGCTCTGGGCCCCTGAGGGCACTTGCACTCAGCTCGCGCTCCCCCCACCTAGAAGCCCGCGTGAACTGCTCCGTGCACCCCCTGCTCCTGGAGGACTCGCCCTCCTGCCCCAACCTCTACGCCAACTGGCTGGTCATCCTCCTGTTGGTCACCTTCCTGCTGGTCACCAACGTGCTGCTCATGAACCTGCTCATCGCCATGTTCAGGTGCCCGCTATGCCCCTGCTCTGTCCACGTGGGGGCCTGGTGATCCTGGCAACCAATGCCCTTGGTTCCAGCAGCCCCTGGCCCAGACCTGCTGGCCCCTCGGCCCCCAGGAGGGGCTGAAACCTGTGCCGGTAGAGGCCTGGACGTGGGGTGTCAACCCAAAACATTGGCTCCCCTTCGGGTGGGCCTGGAGTGCAGGCAGAGGGAGGGGAGGGTACCGAGGAAGTGGTGCAGGGCAGGCAGGTGGGTGAGCATGCGTGGTGGTGATGGTGATGGTGATGGTGGGGGGTGATTCCTTCCCGAGCACCCGCCCCACCGCCGCCCTCCTCCCTGCCGCCTCTGCTCCCAGAGGTCGGCCCGGGTCTGCAAAGGCTGCAGCAGAAGGGGCCGTGGACGACCCTGGATGAGCGAGCCCCACTCTAGACACAGCCCACAGAGAGAAGCCACAGGAGGTGGGGGCTCCTGCGGGTTCGCAGACGGGCAGGGACGTGGGGCTGGTGCCCACCGCCGCCCACGCCGTCCGCAGCTACACGTTCCAGGTGGTGCAGGGCAACGCGGACATGTTCTGGAAGTTCCAACGCTACCACCTCATTGCGGAGTACCAGGAGCGGCCCGCCCTGGCGCCGCCCTTCATCATCCTGAGCCACCTGAGCCTGGTGCTCAAGAGGGTCTCCCGGAAGCAGGCTGAGCAGAAGCGGGCACGCCTGGGTGAGGCCCAGCGCAGGGCGCGGCGCGGGGGCGG